TTGTCGCAGCATCTGGAATCACAGACCCTCCGGCTAAGCTCTGATGTAGATTGGTGGAAAACTGATGTCAATAGGAAAAGTACATTGGGAACGAGGGAATGAAATGTGATTGGAGCAGACAGGGCGGGAAGAATGAGCTCTATTCGTTAGGTCGAAACTGCGAGCTTTAAGGGGTGTTGGTCGAATCAGAGCATGTCCGCGTCGGCCGTATGAGCAACTGTCATTGGTAAAACAACACCGAGTCTCGCGGTATCAAGTACGTGGACTGCCCTTGGTACGCATGAGTGTAAATGCGCCAGACAGTGACTGTCACGTGATGCTGAACGAGATGGGTGAGGTCAATACGTGATTACCTGTTTTTTTGTGCCCCCGTTGTCTCTTTTACATAGTAGCTCGTGTGGTTGTATTGTTCTTCTCTACATCGCACATTTTTTTGTGAACTTAACCACTTACGTCAGTACTGTGTGCACTTAGTTGTAATCCTGATTTTATTTCAACCGCTTTAAGTAGCAGCAAGTAAATCTTACACCCCTTTCTAGTGCTCAGTTGTTTATGACATGTCTAGAAGGCACAATAAACTATAATCATCAATGGAACCGGAACTAAAAGGCCCTACCTGAGCGGACTTGTGTATCTATGTTCTATTTGTTTTCTTTAAAAGGTTACTTTGTTCCCACATAATCGCATCTACTTCTAATTAACTTTCTTGTGATGCCCGTTTTCAGATGTTAATTTTTGTGACTTTTTTGCAGATGGGATACGACCGAGTCCTCTTTCGATCCTAAAAATTTCTTCCTCTTCTAAATTCAAATGCTCGTCTAATTTTCATATATTTGATTTCCATAACCTTCTTGCGCATGCTAACAAAACATGCCAGTTGGTCGGCTGACGTTGCCCAAGGTGCACAGGACTGTTTCACATGTGCCCGAAAGAGATCCGCGTGGACAGTGTAGGCGGGCGTCGGGGCAATCAGGTCATTTATGAAGTCCTCAAAGACGATCAGTGTAATGGGATTTAGGGCATGGAAATTCGCATCAGACTGAAACAATTCGCGTGATTGAGCGGGTGAGTCTTTTGAAAGTTTTTCGTAGAAAAAATTCAACGGGTATCCGGAATCACTATTCACATACGCTCAGAAAGTACAGGTGCAGTCCCAGAGTCCAAGGTCGACGCGATCCTTTTCGCAACAGTCAACAGATGTCGCCCTAAGGGCTGAATGTTATTGATCGTGCAGTTCTGGCTGAGTGAACAGCAAGCCGAACAGATACCGTGGATAGTTTTGGAACTGGAGAAAAACCGGAAAACACTCTTGGAACTCACCATTACTGAGCAGCCCTCCACAGTCGCACGACTTATGACCACGATGCAATTAGCGCTTCTGAACTGTATTCTGCTGTTAATTCGTTGGAATTGGTTAGTGCTAATCCACACGAGTGATAAGACTTGCGCAGATCGATCCTAGTAGTTGGAACAGTATACCAGAACACACCAGCCCACGTCCAACCGTTTAAAAATGCGCAGCGAGACGTCGGGGATCCTCTGATCTGACTGCAGTTAAGAAGGCTTGTCGATGGCAGCATGCGAATTTTTTAATTGAGATCGTTGCTCTGGACCCGATTTGTTATTGGGTTTGGGTTAAGCCAGGTGACAATAACGCGGAGAACCTGCCGCATGGTGCTCGTACCACGAGTATGTCATAGGGAGACCTGGTCTCCTTTGATGAAAATGAATAAAGCAGACATTTGTTAACTTGATCGGCAGACTGCCGCCTTTTGTTGAAGTGTAAGTTGCACAGGGAACCGGCAATAAGATACAAATTTAGGGATTTCCATAAATGTCGACGTGGAGGCAACAGCAGTAATAAAAAGAATATTTGAGTAGGTATGGACGCATCCCAGACCGCGTTGGGATGGCCCATAAGACTGAAATAGTCCTTTAGGACGAGGAAGTTCCACCCCTCGTCATGTTTTACAGGCGACTCCGGAGGTGGGTAGCGAATCCAGGACAGATCCTCTAGTGGGTTGGTTTGATACGAAATTCATACTTCCTGTTTCGTGTGCTACTCACCGTGTCAATAAGTAGGAAGATGTGACTGCTGACGCCTTGGCCTGATACAAGATGGATCTCAACAAAAACTCAACGCTTCGAGTTCAGGTTAAGATCCTAGTCAAACTGGTCAGAGCTGTTACCCCCAGCCAGTTTTCAGCGAAACTATGCTTCGTGAGTTATTTCAATGCAATCAACATGCCAACGCGTCTACATCAATAAAATTTCAAACTTTGGGCATTGCATTCTACACCGAAATTTTGAGTGAACGACAGTGAGCCCACTTTACCGATGCATTCATCTGGCTCAGCAGTCACTGGGATGTATTGCACTAGAAACGCCCTAGCCTGCAAACCAACGTGCCAACTCATTGACGTCCTCCGACTGATGCTCCCAAGGCATCTCTACACAGGCCGCAGAACCGGTATCGCTTTCGGTTCGAGCATTTTCCGTCACAACCGATTAACTTTCTCCAATCCACGTGTGCACTGGATAAGATCACTTGGAATAATGAATGGATAAGGTATTTTGACTTCCCTGATCCTCCGTCTGTCTGCTGTACGTCTGTGCTGCTTAGCATAGTCTTGTCTAGAAGAAAACACTATTTAAGACAAACCATCTCGGAAAATTTACTCTTACTGATTACGGACACTGTGCAAGAGGTATGTCAATTAACTCCCATAAAGTCTGTGTATAGAACGTTTGTACATGGTTATAATGTAGTCAACTGTGATACTTAGTTCTTTGTGCGCGACTTGAAAGTATATCTTTTATATGGTAGGCCTGACCGGTACTTGAAAGAAATTATTGAATTGTGCAATGATTTACCGTACAAACAACACAGGTATTAGCTAAAAGCCCAGTCACGCGTGTTTCGCCGATCTTATGTCGCCGCCTGACGGAGCTGTGAGCCGAACCCCTTGCAGCTGCGTCAGGCAGCGACATAAGATCGGCGAAACACGCGTGACTGGGCTTTTAGCTAATACCTGTGTTGTTTGTACGGTAAATCATTGCACAATTCCATACTACTGGCTGCCTGTTGGCCGTTTGTGAATATTAGGCGGTTATTCCGCAGTAGCTGATGGCTTTCAGCTCAAATAATCACATCCAACTCTGGGCCGTGCCTGAAAAGGTCTGTTTCGAAAGATTTGCTCCAGGTTCGCGCATTAATTTCCTCGGAAATTAAACAAGACAAAGAGAAATTATTATTTGTCGAATGCAGTGTAAGATCCCAGCTAATTTTGAGATGCGAGGCCTGAAAGATCTCCACGAACTTCTATTCCCGTAGAGGTTCAGATTATGCAGCCAGCTTGTCGTCGACATCCGAGAACTTTTCTTGAGATCCCCATTGATCTCGCGTCTACTTACTTAGCAGAACGCCGAGACATGAAACCAACTCTGCTGTTTCTGCCTCCAGTGTAAACCGGATGGATAGATGTGTTTTAATAAACTACCAACCCACCGAAATAAGTTCTATTTTCTCTGATACAACTTCCAATTTGTCGACTGTTTGCCGTACATAAAACTACAGTTTATTCATGAGCTTGCTGGTCCGGTGTTTTTTAAATCTTCATGTAAAGGCACTGGCCCAGATGTTGTTCACCGTCATTCTGTCTGCTTGTTTTAACAGATATTCATCCAGTAAACAAATTAGTTTGCTTCTATGCGCGCTCTTAAAATCAGGTGCATCCGCAAACTGGTTCACGCGGAAAAAAGAAGATTAAGATCCCGTTCACATATTGTCCCAGCGATCGTACGTTCATCTTTACAGCAAGAACCTGAGTCTCGCATATTCGTCCTTATACATTCGTTTCTATATGTTCTAACAAAATAAGAGTTGAAAAAGACCGGTAGCAAGAGCATTTGTAGGAAGCAGATCTGGGTTAGAGAAAATGCCGATGTTAATAATTTGTTTACGTCACATAGAAACGAGAAGTGATTCCTGCCAGACTGATTTGCCTACCAGCTGGTACTGAAATAATACCAGAGCTGCTGCTAAAGGTAAATTATATTCGACAGGATTAAACGTCAGTTTGGTACAGGAAAGGAATCTCAAAGTCGGTAAAATGCTACAGAGGAGAATAAGTTAGTTATCCAGCTGTTTTTTCAAGGCTACGAATCCGGTAAACCAGTTCAGACACGGATAATCAAGATCTTTTACGCTTTTCAGCTATCTCAAGAGAGTTCATAATGCTCTTGGTAAACTCGCCTCAATGACTGAAAAACAAAGACAAGCTGTTAATACAGACTGCTTCAGAGCGTATTTATGCATCATCTTCACTCCTGGCACAAGCTGCTTTGGATAAAATGGTTGTTTCCTAGTCGGAAAAATACAAAAACAGTCGTCAGAATGCATGATAAATTAAAGAGTACAAGTGACTCCAGCATCACACACCAGGTAGACTTTGGTCACGATATGGACCCCAATAAACTACCGTTACCTCCAAGGGCAGCCCCAAATAGCCGTACCGGAGCTGACAGAAGTTTGATTGAGAAACCTGGTCCGTTACATGCAAAATAATTTCATACTATGACTCCAAGAGGAATAAACGAAAATCAACACAAAATTCCTAGCAGAAGAATTGTTTATAATTAACTTCTCCAGGTGACCTTCCTTCTTTCATCCTGGACATCATCCTCCGAAACGGCTATATCCAATTAAATAATCACCTTAACTCCGCAATCCCCACCTGCGTATGCTTTTTTTCTCGCGGTGCGCAGGCCAGAAATGTATTGGTTCGAAACGCTCTTTGTGAGCCAGTATCTGTATCTTGTTTGTTAGTTTGGTACCACACCCTAACGTTTTTGTCAGAAAGCAGCGTGATCGGTGTCTGTCGAGCTTCGTATACGCACACTGAGAACGCCTACAGAATCACTGCTTCAATTGCGTAGACAATGTCATAAAAGTCTGCCTGCAGTTGGAAGCACGACGGGACGGTATGGCTGCTCCACAGATGGAAGAGGGAGTAAAACGACTTATTCTCATGCCTGTCGATGACAGTGTGAATTGCGAGTATGCTTGGGAATGGTATGTTAACTATGAAATGCAGGCGGGAGACAGTATCATCTTTATGCATGTTCTTGAGCCCAAAATCACCGCTTCAGCTGAACGCCGTGGGAGCCTGACCCTAGACGTGCCGATAAACTTTGACAAGGACGTTGCCGAGGCCATGGATACCTGTGCCGCTGCCGCCAAGAACATCGCTGAGGGGTTCACAGATCGGGCAAAGACAGCTGGTCTACCCAACAAGGTCCTATTAGAAACAGGCAACTCTACAGGTGCGGCCATTGTAAAGGCTGCTCACGAGCATGCGGTACAACTTGTCATCCTGGGCAGCCGTGGAGTTGGAAGTGTACGGAGAACGTTCCTTGGTTCGGTCAGCGACTATGTGGTCCACCACATTGGTGTCCCGGTGGTGGTTGTTCCGCCGAAAGAGTCAAAGAGTCGTCATTAACAGGATGCAAACGACGTGCGTGGTGATCGCCAGAGGAATGCTGTTTTTGTACATTGCACAAGTACTCCTGTGGCCATGAACTAGTGCTTGTAATTAACTTAGAGCTTTAAAATGCTTGTGACATTACTTACTTATTCTATCTTTACTTACATAATATTTGTGGAAACAAGAATATACTTTTAAGCTGACTTACTTTCCTCTACTGAAATAAGACACTGTCCCAGATGCAACCTATTAAATCGATTTCCGCTGCTGGCAGACGCAACATGAATGTTCGCTGCACAATGATGGTGTCAATCATGTTTAAAGAATGTTTGAGAGCAGATGTCCTAAGAAACGTAAATGTGCACAAATGAATGCTCTTAGAGTGTTTCGCGTCAGTGTGTACGACTTAAAAACTTGTCTTCAGAGGTTTTATATTGTATTTTCAAATGACACTAAGTTATCTACGAAGTAACCCCTAAATAAAAATAAGGGGTGCCTTCAGGAGCCTTAGTGGTAGGTAATTACTGAACAAAAACTCATCTCCGCAACAATCCATTTAGAGACCGCCTCCCTCATAATGTGCGGTACCTTTTATTTTCTGTTCATGGTCTGACTCTTAATTTCCCGTTGAACATTCAAAGGCAGACGCGTACTACGTTCTACACCACTTCAGTATTTAATCTTTATGGGGCCCACACCTAAACAGTGGTTGTACTGCCGATTACTAGTATCTCTATGTTTGTCAGTTCACAAATTTGCTTTCCTTCAGCTTTATATTACTGAAAACTGCTGACAGTTAAGCGCTAGTTTAACTACAGTCAACAATTACTAGTAAGGTTTCGTAAAAACAATTATTTTGTTTGATGGCAGGTAATTCTCAGTTGCTATGAAACACGCGATGAATCTACCAAATAAGTTCTCATTTGCACCTGCCTTGTCCGTAGAAAGTAAACGTACTCAATCCTCATCCATTAACCAGACAAATGAAAGTTATCTCAGCGTACAAATTCGAACTCTCAACAACTTAGCGACGAACGCATTCATTTGGCGTAGTCACATTTCATATTTGAGGGTAGTGAGTTAAAGATTATTATTTCTACGCCATTATTCCGTATATTGGAGTGAAATCGATAGGTTTGAAACCGTGTGGATGAATAAAATATACCTGCAGTGAATGCTGTAATGCGTAAAAATTTTCTATTAGACCCTTAGTTTTCTATGGTCTGAGGCAGAGACCCGGACTATAAGTGTGCCATCTTCCTGTGAGAATTAAACAAGTGGTTTTGAAATAGACGGATAATTTCATCCCCACAGTGGACGCACTTGACGTATTCAGAGTTCATAACAACCAAAGCAGCTTTTATTACAGAGCATGCGTAATAACCAACTGAGCGCCTACTTTTTCTGTTCTCAGCTCTTCAGTGAGAATTAAATTCCTTTCTATACGTTGTCTCCAGTTAAGTATCTAACAGCCTGTACTTTATGTAATTCAAAGGTCTACCGATTAAGGAGTGTCCAGAGCATATCGCCAGTTTGTATAAATGTTCTCAACCCCTTCTTACGTCTAGATCTTCGAATATTCAACAATGAATCGTGCATATCTTTAAGAAAACGTTGTATAAATTGGTTGTAGCATATGAAAATTTTATTTAGCTTTGACTTTTTGTTGTCGATCTGTTGCATTTTAGACCAGACAAAAGCTAATGTTAAGTAATTTCGGCCACTTCTATTAAAAAGATCTTATGGGACGCTATATACTCTCACTCGATATTGCTATAGTTTCACTGGATACAATTACAAATAATTGTCCGGAAGGAGCAACCCTCATTCGAGAATTATTAGTCTCTGCAGCGTTTTTGCTACAGTATAGGTGTGAACTGTGTGAACCGTATACTGTGGTCCAACGAGCACTCAGCCAAAATGCTCTTGCTACACGGGTTACCATAACCACGCTCCTTAGGCTGTGGCTGAGAATGCGCGGTGTAACATGGGATTGGTCGCTACGAATCTATCTTAGTTTGAGGCTTTCTGTCTGATTTATTGAAGGATAATCGTCCTGATACTAAAATAGTTCTGTCATTTACTTATCTTTCGAAGAAAAGGCTGTATTTCACATGCTCCATTGTCCGTCAAATGACATTATGTTTGCGTTTTCAAAAACCCTTGGCTGTTTTGTTTTATGTTGTTAGGAAATTGTATCACTATAGCCGTATAAAGTAATATGACTAAAACTATTTTCGGCTTCCTATAAGGCTGCGTATACTGTATTACACATTCGAGGCATCATAAGTATAAAAGCATCTTAAAGGTAATATTTCGGTTTTCCAAATGCCGTGTTCTCAAAAGTGACTATAGAAAGGACATTATGCAAAGAAACCTAATAAAAGTAAAACTATTATTAAAAATTAATGACAAATAGGCCTCAGGTCGACTTGTATTCACCAGCAAGACTGACACAGGTGTCTGGGATGGCACCACTCACGAGTTTGTATGACCGACACATAAAACTATTTGTGTGTTCGTTTGAAACTTATTGTCTTTTGTCTTAACCTAAGTGGGAACCTGTTTTAAAAATTTATTTGATGTGCTAGTATTTCGATGTTCTTTTATTCTGATAACAGTAATACCTTCAGATCAGTTTCATGCGAGATGTTAAATGTGCGTTTTTAACAATTTATTTTCAGTTATATGTATGCTTTAAGCCTCCCGGATGTTATTCAAAAAACTGACTCTTTCGATCTCGTTGAGTCTAAAAGCAGTAGAAGGTATAACGTGAGCAATATCCGAAAAACACCTATTGTTTCAAAAATTATTAAGTACAACCCGAAATAAGCTATGGGCTTCTGCGAAGAGATTAGAATAAAATCTTCTGAATTAGCTCTCGCAATCTTTTTTAAATACCCTCTAGAGTTCAAATGTACTGTGAGGTGTCCGTTAAGCCCTGAGCCGAAGAACAATACTGTTTTTCTAATCAGTTCGTTCCACCTTTTCTTCAGAGGTGGGAAAGTTCAACCGAAATGATTGTTAAATGTTTCAGACCCCAGGGAATCAATAATGCTTGGTTGTGTAATGTTCATGTATGAGAACTATTTAACTCATACGAGACAAAATACCTTTTCCCTTGTCCTAGTAATATTCATAGGTCACACTGACTGTGTGGTTTCATCTACCTAATTGCTAACTTACCGGTGCTCCCTTAGGTCCCCCGCACTAAAAGATTTTCCCTAAAACTAGGTTTTTATGTCAAGATTCTCTCCAAGGCCCTTTCCTAGTAAGTGTAAAATTAAACCATAATACGATTCTAACGGATTGCAAAGAGCAGAAGCACACAAATTACTGGAGGTGTGTGCAGATTGTTACTGAATCCGCAAGTGCAATATAGGAAGATTTAAAAATTTCAAAGATTTTGTTTCAATATTCATTTTCTGGCAACTGTGGACCGAATTTCTTCCTGTCCAGTAATACAGACGATATTTGCACTAATATGAGTACTTTTTATTGTTTTCGCATAGGCGGGTCGGAAACAAATTAAAGTGTTCTAGCACATATCTATGAAAAATCGGACTGCCATCTTAATAAAAACACAACCAAATACCTTTTAACAAGTCAGCTATATAGTTGAGCCTTTCAGTGATACTAATCATCAGTTAAGATCACTCTACTTTACATGGTTTTTGTTGGATGCGTTTAAAAAGTACATTTGAATTTTCGAATCCTGCACCCTGTCCTGGAGCCGGCTAGTGAAAACTGAAAATTCAAGTTTCGTTTGGCAGCCTTAAGACTCCGTAGAATATCAAAGCTATACCCACGGCAGAAAACATCAGTTTCTCGTGATATAGCCGTCGCATCTTTAAGGCTTTCGTCTGCACTTTTGTCATGCTAGCAGATTTTGTATGCGTCACAGCCTCAGCAACGGACCACGCCCTTCTTGCAGTCGCTCCAACTTTGTATAAGGCGAACCCGAACCTTGACTGCAGTCTCTATAGATTTACCCAAAGATATGTAAACTATCCCGTATTTTAAAGTGCTGGAAATTCGACCTTAGTATGTAGACTTGCGTGTATGTAACCCGGTTAGAGTGCCTGCATGAAAGCTCTTGACAAGATGGCAAAATGAATCGTTTAGCGTAAGTAACTACGGCCTAACTCATCATGTTTTTGACAGGGGTAATAGAAATGTTTCTTCAATTAGTGATAAAACTGGGTGTGACTCATAAATCAAGCTCGACCACAAGTGACAGTAGGTTGCGTGAGGTCAGGCACAGTTGCTCTATTTCTTCGCTTTTCAACTGAACCATTTAACGTGGGAGTAAAATCGAAATATCTTAAGAATTTAAGCGTTA